GAAGGCTTGGGAGAAGGTGACGTAGTCAGATGAGACCAAAATTGAACTCTTTGGCATAAACTCGAGTCGTCGTGTTTGGAGGGAGAGAAATGTTGATTACCAAGAACACTATCTCCACTGTTAAGTATGGAGGTGGAAACATTATGCTTTAGAGCTGTTTCTCTGCTAAGGGTACAGGACAACTTTACCGCATTGAGGGGCCGATGGATGGGGCCAAGTACTGTAAGATCTTGGACAAGAACCTCTTTTCCTCAGCCAGAGCCAGAGGATGGGTCTTGGATGGGTCTTCCAGCATGAGAATGACCCGAAACATACGGCCAAGGCAACAAAGGAGTGGCTCAAGAAGAAGCACATTCAGGTCATGGAGTGGCCTAGCCAGTCTCTAAACCTTAATCCTATAGAAAATGTGTGGAGGGAGCTGAAACTTTGAGTTGCAAAGCGACAGCCTTGAAACCTTCAGGATTTGGAGAGGATCTGGAAAGAGGAGTGGACCAAAATCCCTCCTGAGATGTGTGCGAACCTGGTGACCAACTACAACAATCGTTTGACTTCTGTGCTTGCCAACAAGGGTCACTCCACCAAGTACTAAGTCACATTTTGCTAGGGGATCAAATACTTATTTCCTTCGATCAAATGCAAATTAATTTATAACTTTATGTAATGTTTATATTCTGTCTCTGTTTGTTACAACAAAAGTACCGTAACAATTATAGACCACTGACTTATTTGTAACAAACCAAACTTACAAATCAACAGGGGGTCAGATAATTATTTCCTCCACTGTGTGTGTATACATCTTTTGTGTAAGTATGTAGATTAACACAGATAGCATTAATCAAAGCAGTAAGAATCCAGAGCGCAAACTACAACAATGACTTTAAAGACACTTCAACACTTTCTAAAGATAAAGGATACGGCAGCATTTGGAGATAATTCTTTCTTTATTTGTTTCAATTTGATTATTATTAAATAAAAAAGATATTTCTGCCTATACTGTAAAGATGGTAAATGGACTTGCGCTTGTATAGTGCTTTTCTAGTCACACCTACACATTCACACACTGATGGCAGAGGCTGCTACGTAAAATGTCCATCAGTATGAACTAATCACCATTCATACACATTCATACACAGTCAAGGAAGCAGCAGGAGCAACTTGGGGTGATAGTCCTTGAGTTGTTTTTTTCGGATGCATTTTTTGGGTCTGTAAGCCGGAAAAAAAGTTACTCACAGACACCATGCACACTAATTCTGATGCATTTATTTTTCTATTAATTGAGTAAATACCCAGTATGAGACAACATATCTCGTACCCATCACGCAGAGTGATCAAGCAGTGAAGCTGATTTTGTGGTTCTTTCACTCCTTGAAAAAAAACACTGCTGAATTATCCTGATTTCTTTCTGTATTTCAGGATGTCCAGGAGTCCAGTTTGATACACTGCTCTCTATTCTGGAACCACATACTAATAAGACGAGCACCAATTACCGCGAAGCAACTGAACCAGCAGTATGGTAGGGACACTACAGACATACACACACACACATACACACACACACACATACACACACACACATGCAGGGCGAGATGGAGGAAATCCATGAAAAAATATTATGATGGACGAATTATTCAGAGTCATGCAAACATGATTGACATCAAATGAGATCTTAAAAAAATTAAAGAAAAAAAACGAACTCAGTGTGCAATGGCTTCAAGTGTCTTACCCAAGGACGGATCGGACATGTGGCGGGAGTTGGGGATCAAACCCCCGACCTTCCGATTGCCAGACGACTGACTACCACTGAGCAGCTCAGTGATAAATAATCACTTCAAAACAAAACACAACAGTATGGATGATACAGACATTAAATCATGTCTACTTCCCAGAAATATCAATGAAGCCTCGTGTTTCTTTGTGAAGTAACTGTAGTGCAGTAAAATAACAGGTTGGCTCGTGGAAACAGCTGCAATGTAAAGAAAATGGTTACAAGTTGTGAAATAGTGACAAAGGGAGAAGAAACAGGAATGGTGTTTCCTCTCCTGCTTTAGAAAATGACTTAAACAAGGAATTCCACCTTTCCTAAGTTCGTCGTCGAGTGATTTCCCGGCAGGACCTTGTGTTTGCGTCTTCACCCGCTCCATTCCACAGACGCTTGCATTAATCTTTTGTAATAACACTTCACTTCTCTCGCTCGCCTATGCACGCTAGAATTGTGTTTATCTTTCCAAGCGCTTTGAGAAGTAATTCACGGACAATCATTCAGTGAAACTGCCCTGCCACCGTGTAGCTCCACTCACATCAAAGCCTCTAAATGATGCCTTTCTTTTGACGCTGAATTTCAACCATTCCTAATTCTTGCGGGAGCTTTTGGCACATTTGATTAGGAGATTAGAAAAGATAAAGAAAAAAAACAAGTAATTGGTAGAAGAAGAAAAAAATCAGAAAAGCGGCTTTACGGGGTGATTATAGACAATTGTGTGCGCTGACAGAGGGCAGGGTGTGTGGCCGTCGTCTTCAAGTGCTACTTCACAGTCACACTCACATGTTTGACAGGATCTAAGCTCTGATCAGCTTGGAATGGTGGACAGGCCAAAAAAGACAAAAAACGTTTTGTTGTGAGACATTTGAGAGCTGCTATACAACCTGCATTCAGATGTGAGTCTGTATTATGTCATGTCAGAGGCATTTATGAAGATGCTGTAAGAGGGACCTGAGCCATAGGTTGGAATGAAACATCAAACTTACTCTCTTCCAGAAACTTCTGGAGATACACACCAGCGCTCCCATGACACAACAGCACTGGGTCCTGACCCGCGTTGTGGTCTGATCAGTTGACCTCAATTTGCACTTCAGATTCACAGCAAGAAGGCTTTAAAGTTAGAGGGGGGTCGACTCGTGAGTGTCCTATGTGTTATTAAATAATTTAAAGATTCTGATCACAGAAGGAAGATATGGCTCATTTTTATGCCCGTACATATTCCACTGTCACTCAATCAATGATTAACGCTGTGCCCATAGCTGTGCACATACTGTAGTGGAAGAAGTCTACCAAGTGGAAGGTGATCCATTTAAAGAGGAATCCCTGTGTTTTTAAATGTGGAACTTAATGTTTTAAAAGTATCAAAAAATTAAGTTTCACTTCGGCTGCTTTATCTGGCAGAAAAAAATGGGCAGTAATGGCTACAATTAAATTCTTGAGGTGCATTCACTTTAAACTGTGTCTGACAGGCCCAGGTTAAAATGGAAACGAGCCTACGGCTACAGTCTGGCGATACTTAGGTTCATTAATGTGCACTGTCCCTTTTTTAAATAAGTAAAATAAATAAATACAATAAATTGTTATTCTAAATGTCTGCCAGTATCAGAGAGCTGATCAGAGATGTGACACGCAAAGGAGAAAGAAGCAGGAATCCCCTCTCCCAACACACACACACACACACACACACACACACACACACACACACACACACACACACACACACACACACACACACACACACACACACACACACACACACACCACACAGACGTAAAAAAGACTGTTCCTAGTCCTTGTTTTTTCATATTTGTTCAAATTTGACACCATCAGATAAAGGGAGGGGTAATCTCCCCCAGACATTTAAAAAAAAAATGTCTAACCATTTTTTCTTGCTTTCTGATCAATTTTTCTTCACCAATTCATATTCATGATCTTATGTCCACTTTAGTGATTTATATCTTAAAGTATTAATCTGGTAATCTGGTGTATATTAATTCATTTGAATAGATTCACAAACATGTGGACTTAAACAGTTTTTGTGTTTCTGCAATAGTTTAGCCCTGAAGAAGTTCTGAAGCTGCAGCTACAAACAAGAAGCCTTAGCATGTAAAGTCCATACTGTATGTAGTTCTGTAATACATTGGATTTACTGTTTACGTGATCCCTACAGAGATAGACCTTTTAGTTCAAGTATAAGATGTTTTACATTTCACACGAAGATAACAGGATTTTCCTTTCTATTAGCAGGCCTATACCTGATCTGCTAGGTTGTTGTTTTTTGTGACTGTAGACTTTGGATCCAACACAATATTTGTGTTACACACTATGGAATGTTTTCCTTTTCTTAAAAGTTTTGTATTTTTGTTTTCAACCTCTGTCCCATACTGACACAGAATTGTCCCAGAGACAGGAGCATGGTAATATGAAATGGTTTGTTAATTTCTATAAAGTCCAGCAAAGTAGATTTTTGGAAGGTAATTAACCCTTTTAACATGAATTTTTTTTATTGCGTATCTGAACTCTTTAACTTAAGTTACCAAGATAGCAAGCTGTCCTCAACACTCACGTTAGCTTTTATAAACTTGGAGAGTTGAAGAGCTCGAAGCAGCAAGAAAGATAATGGGAGACACAGAATGTGAGATTGAAAGAACGGCAGAACATTTAAATAAGAGACCTGGGATGTAGGCTAAGGCATCCTGCTAAATCAAAAAACTTGCAGACACACAGATGAGTAGTGATCTGTATGTTTGGATGTAACTGTTACAATGAAAAGTCTACTTTGATGTCAGATAAGTACACCATGAACATATTATTTAAGTTATGTATTAAATTAATATTCTCTTGAATTAAGAAATAGAAGACACTTCCTCATGCTTGAAAGCACCAAGTCAAGTTCTGTATGTATTTTCTGTTTGTGTCTGTGTATCACTGTTTCTAATAAAACTCACAAGAGTGACATCACTTTCAGGAAAATACATGTATTCCTTTTATTGATGTTTCTTATAACTTTATACTAACAATGTGCAAGTAATTTTTGTACACGTTTAGATAAATGATAAATAGTGAAATAATTCCACACTCTCTTCTTTAAACTGATAGATGTGTCCTTTCTGTTCAGTGCAGTGTGGCTGTGATTTGTAATTCAGTTTCATACACAAACAGTTTGGGTATATGTAAATCTTGGTAAAATATAGATTTTTATGTATGTTGCCCTGTTAGGAATCTGGTTGTTGAAACTCAATAACATTTTCCCCCCATTCATTTATTGACATCCTTTTATTTCAAGATGACAAAACACATTTTACTAAACTGCCAAAAAAAAAAAAAAAATCTGGTCAGGATTTTTCTCATAATTCCTAATGTGTCAGAAGTCTTGCTAAAGGTTACAGTATTGAAGAAGCTTTTCTGTAGCCAGACATTTAAAATAATTGAGGCTGACTATATTAATATTTGTTAATATAAGGAGGACTAGTTGTGACCTTGGTATTAGCTAATGGGGATAAAACATTGAAGTTGACTGGTTTTATTACCTCTGATCTATGATGTCTCATTAATTTAGAAAATCATCTTCATTAAACTGATTGTGTGTCTATAAGGAGATGCATCATTTTACCTCAAGGGGGAGCTCTAGGCATACTGATACAGTCTCCTGTATGCAATCCCTTTATTATACTTCAGAAATCCACACTGTTTGATAAGAAGCTGATGAAACTATTCTCACTTCATAAAAAAACCTTACAATTGACCCATATGGCTACAAACATACAGCAACCATTGGTACCTGTAATGTAGAAACATCTCGCTAAAGTCTCACTGCGTCTCAGTCTGCAGTTCCTTGAATAATGTCTCTGATTCTCTGTGTGTCTGCCTGCAGTGTTTCACTGTGAGGATCAATCTTCAGAGCAGCTTGATAGTCCTGCAGCCCTGAGGAAACATGTGACAGATATATTCAGCTGACAGCCCGGTGAAGACGGTGAAAAGATGCTACAGTTAACGATGCAGTCCTTTCATTAAAATGTAAGATTCAGGATCAGAAAGACTAGCGGTTGGTGTTCACACCTTCTGCGTAGAGCTGCAGCTGGCAGAAAGCAGAGCCTCTGCGGACATGGGCTCTGACTCTGGCAGCTTCGTTGGCAGCAACTGGTGGAGTCAACAGATCCAGGGCCTGCAGAGAAACAGGATGTTTAAATCCAACCATCAGCTATTCAGAACTCACACCAACTAAATGGAACCAGAGGAGTGAAGACTTTTTTCCCTCATAGGCATCAAGCAGTGGAGTAAAGCTACAGACCTGAGAAGAGTCCTCAATGGCCTTGTGGAGGTTTCTTAACTTCAGATGACATGCTGCTCTGTTTGAATACAGAGCCGGGATCTTCCTGTTGAGCCTGATAGCCAGGCTGTAAGCGTTCACTGCCCCGAGGTAGTCCCCGGTCGCAAAACATTTACTAAAAAGAGAGAATTCAGGTTATTCCATAGTTCAGATAAAAAAACAAAAACACTGTCAAACAGATCTGAGAGCAGACTCGACTCACTCTCCTTTGTCCTTTAACCAGTCCGGATTCCTCTGCTCCTCCTTCAGGTCATTTAATTCTTCTACATCTGCATGTACTGCACGCCTTGCCTCGGCTTGTTTTTGGAGCCACTGGTTGGTTAAAAGATCAGACAAAAGGAATATGAGCGCTAATTTCAGAAGCAGGAGGGACGCTACTTTGATTAGAGGAATTCTATTTTTAGGGAATGTCCAATACTTAGACAATGTCTTCAATTAGAGCCTTTAAACTACAAGCTATATTTCCTTGCTTACTCTGAACAAATGAAACCCAACAGAATCTGTGCCATGTCTCTTCAACGACTAAATAATAAATATAGTGACTAAAAAAGTTTTAAACACACACTAGATTTGAGACATAACCAGATACATTTTTTTACTGGCGCTTTGATTCATACAATCAACACTCTCTCTGACCTCTATAACCAGAATGTTTTTGAGGACAGCTGACATACAAATGTCGTCACCAAGCTCATCATCATCATACATTTACAAAGAATAAAACGATTTGTAGTTGTGGTTTTGCACATGAGTGAAAGTGAGGGGAAATCCTGTACTGTATGTAAAAAATGTGTCAGGACAGGTATTTCCTTGACAACATAACACAAAGGATCCATACAAATAAGTCATCAAACACAACATTTTAAAGCTGGCGGACAAGCAACAGAGTCAGACGCTATGATGACAGGCTTTTCTTTTGTATCATGCTACGTTAAATTTGACAAATTCACAGTATTCACGCACACCTGTCGCAGGATATAATCGTTTTTCCTCCCGCACACATGCTTGAAATCATTCAAGAATATTGTCTTCTCTCGCCTAACCATGACTTCTTGCGACAAATTTATCAAGGGGTTAGCAGAAAAAGGTCAAAATAAAGTCAGGGTGAAATATTTCTCTGTTTGCAGGTCACCCCAGAAAGATTTGGGGACATTTCCAGGAGACTTTTAGCGGGTGTGAAAAGGACTTCAAAGACCTTTCGTCAATGAAAGATGAAGATGATTTTTTTGTATTTTTCCATCTACTGTTTTTCTCTGTTGCAGAAAAGAGGCCTTGATCAGTGAGAATGTTTGTGAAGATGAGAAGATGCTCTCACCTCTTCCTCTTCTTGCACTCTTGACTCCCTGAGGGCTGTTGGAAAAACTCGAGGAGTAAAGCTGACTTGAATGTTTCCAACAGTTCTTGGAGCAGGCAGGTCTGCTTGATTCTTCTTGCGGTTTTCAGCACCTTTACTTTTCGGTTCTAAATTCAAGAATGTGTTCATTAATATACTAGAGTTAACCAATGACATTTGAACAGGGTGGAAATGACTTACTTGGTTTGACCGTTCCTCCACCTGAACATCCTTTTTCCTGCTTAGCCACAACTTGCACTGTGCTTTGATTTTCTCTCTGACTTTGAAGTTTTAGTTGAGTTTCTTCTTCTAACTTTTCTTTCTGTCTCAGCTGCCACGCTGCCAGCTCGGCACTGGTTTTCTCTCGCTCAGTGTCCTTCATTTTCTGGATACTGTCCCTTTCCTCCTGTTCAAGCTGAAAACAAGTCAAACATTTTATAAACCTTTGTAGATGTAATATCAGGAGGTCATTTTGGAATGGGTGAAGGGATTCATCAGGCGATGTTGTGCTACTGAGTACGTTACCTTCATCATTGTTTCCAGTGCATATTTTTTCTCTGCCTGCTTTTTCTCTGCGTTGGATTTGGACTCTGAAGAAAGCTTTTCCTGGTATTTCAACAGAGCCCTTTCTCTGATCCCCTTCTTTGTTTCTTTGTCATCTGAAACACAGTGAGTCAAAGAAGAAGTTTTAGTTATGTGAATGGCTTCATTGTTCTGTATGGGTTACAGGGAGCAAAAACAACATGCTTGACAAGTCAAAATTATGATTATGCATAATATTTATCTATGAATTATTCCTATTGACAAATTAACTGATACGTTCATGGCCCCCAATTCAACTGATAAATACTCTGGACTGCCCTTTTTAGCATCACAAACCATATCAAAGCATCTTTAAAAACGATGATACATCATTAGATGGCCATTGGGAGAAAAGGAAGGACATTGTGAAAAGTTAAAGGAGACAAAAACAAGGTGAGCTGGATGTTCTTACTTGTACTTAACATCAGGTGGTCCCACAATTTGTTGGTTTTCTTCTGCACACTGATCAGTGCAGCCCCGTCTCCAACCCTTGCTGTGCTTCTGGCATCATCCACAGGTTCAAACAGGAAGGCTTCAAATAAATACGGTGGGTAATGTACCTGCAAGACAAGACAGTGGGATACAAATGTTTTATACCTCTTCAATGATGAGAAACACAAAACCCTATGAACTTTATGTGTCTCTTTATACACATAGATACAAGATAAAACACAGCAAGAATGAGTGGAGGAAGATTGTTTGAGGTGCTACTGATATAAAGGCTAAAACGAGTGGCCTTACAATCTTTACCTTGATGTATTCATCTGTAGATATGATGTCCACTTTGCCGACTGTGGCTCCTTTTAAAGGCACACTGATGTAGACCGTCGAGTCTGTCTGTGTCCATGAGTAGTCTGTGACTAGCAAAGGCATCTTCGGCAGGCTACAGCTAACCTGTCAATGGTTGTAGTTCTGTTAGCTGGCTTCACAGTTAGTCTTAACTATTAATGTATAGTAACTTAAAAGTGCCGATGTATTCGGGCTAATAACTTACTTCTGCTAAAAATGCTAAATGTTGTGAACGGCAAACCCTAGTTTGGAGCATGGCGTCTTGTTACTATGGTGACCAAAGAGCCATTGTGTTGCCTTCATGATTGTCGGAAAAATAAGAGACGAGGGTTACACTGAATAAGTCTAGACAAGGGATAACATTTTTCTGCTTGCTCTAACTTACTCCAGCTATAATTGTGAAACGGTTATATCTTGATTTGAAAAACCTTTATTTAATCTGTGAAAAGGATACATTATTATTTTTATTAATAATAATAATAATAATAATAATAATAATATAATAAAAAATAATAATAACAACAACAATAATAATAATAATAATAATAATAATAATAATAATCATCATCATCATTATTAATAATAATAACAATAATACTAATAATAATGCTAATAATAATATTTAAAGATGGGTCTGCAGGCCAGATATCTTAATATCTGTTTAAATTACATATATAGCATTTATCTTATGAATATTGTGATTCGACAAAACACTTAAAACCCATTATTACTTTTTCAGGAGCTTTCAACATTATCACAACATATTAATAATACACTTGTTTTTTAATTGATTTTAAATAGTGACAGTGCACATTAATGAACAAAAACATGTAAATATGCCATATTATAGCCATAGGCTAATGTCCACCTGTAGTCCCTTGGCAGGTTGGTGGTACGCATGTAGTCAAAATTACAGTTTAGTACACATCAGTTTCCTCTCTTAGGACAAAGTCAAATTCATCAAATATAGTGAATGTTTATAAAAACTGACAAAAATCAAAAGAAGCCTTAAAGCAAGAATTAGGCTCTCATGATTGAATGTAAGCTTCTGCATACCAGTGAAGATGCAGTTTTCATACATCAGTATTGTTTCCACAGAATGACTGTAACTGGCCAGAAAAGGAAAAATATTTATGTACTCAAAATATTGTTAAATACAGTGGTGAGCACCTTGAGTGTTCAGTTTGTTTGAATTGTCCACCTGCTGCATTTTAAAATGTATTTTGTTAAAGAATCCCAAAATTAAAGGAACTTCACAACATTACATTGTTCAACCTCTACATAATCAATGCTCTCTTCCATCCTGACCTTAACCTGACAATCAGTGTCAGAGTCCCCTTTATCTGAGTATCACAAAGATAACAACAAGGCCACCGATGGTAACACAATAGCCACGGCTGTTGTAAAGCTGTACTATTCTTGCTCACATACTGGAGTCTTTTGTAAACTCTGACTTCATATCACATTTTCTTATCAGCAACCCATAAATGTATTGAAGTGTCTAACAAGTTGTTCTCTGAAGGCTTTTAACAATGCAGTTTATCTCGCTGGAGAGTTTATGTCATGTGAGATGAACCTATAAACATGACTGTAGTGACTATCTAATGTTAGTGATGTGTCGGTCATGAACGATTCGTTCAAAACGAACGAATCATCTGGGTGAACAAACTGAACTGAATCACTTAATGAAAAGAGTCGATCATTTCTCAACTTCAGTTGCGCTCTCCTCTCTCCCGTCTCGTGTCTCTCTCTAGCCCATAAGAGTCACTCAAAGCCCGCCCTCCCTCTCCTTTCATGTCAGTGACACGTACTGACTGAACCAACAGGACGGAGTCGGTCGGGAGCTCTGTGTCTCTAAAGTCAGCCCCTACTTCTCCCTCTCATATCTCCAAAATTGAGGAAGTAGAAAATATATTATTTAACATTCAGGTGTCGCGAAAATGTATGTGCTTTTTATAGCTGCTGTCAGTTTACAAACGGCTTTTATATCCAAATTAATTTAACTCAGCTGACTGTTTTAACATCTACTAACGATCGTGTTTCAGTCAGTACAGTGTGTGTGTGTGTGTGTGTGTGTGTGTGTGTGTGTGTGTGTGTGTGTGTGTGTGTGTGTGTGTGACTGAGGCTGGTGACTCGCAGTCCTGCTCGTTCACGTTCAGGCTGTTCAGTGAACGAACTGAACGAGAGCTCCAACGTGAATCACTGACTGACTGAGATTAAGATTTTACTTCAACTCCCATCTGTGGGAGTTTTCAATGGCAACTTAAACGCCCTGATTTAACAGGTGCACTCAGGTTATGGATCTGTGTGTAGTCTGTGTGTGTTTGTTGGTGAAGCTTCTGTTGCTTGTTACATGTTGTGCGTCTTGTGCTTCAGAAACGCTCTAACGCGATTCAGTGAACAAACTGAACGAGAGCTCCGCCTCCGAGTCTCTCTCTTCCTCTCAGTCAGACAGTCAGTGAGTGATTCGTGTACTGAACATAATGAACAGAACGGTCGGGGAAAATAAATGTGATTGTTTAAGCAGCTATCAGTTTGCAAACTGTAGCTTTATCCAACTAAATGCTCAGCTCATTAGTTTATTATTCACCACCGGCTGTTCTCAGTACGATCGTGAGCAGAACTTAACGTTCGGCCGTGTTTCATCTTATTAAATTCTGATTCACAGGCAGAGCTACTGAGAAGTACTGAACGATTCGGTGAACAAATCTTTTGAACGAATCACTTTACTGAACTGATTCTACTGATTCAGTACACTGAAGAGAACTGCTTTTCACATCACTATCTAATGTCCAAATTTCTTATCTTGCCTTTGGTCACTTGCATAGGTGCGTGGAAAGTTCTTGACACGTAAAAAATAAACAAATGTCCAAAATTAAAGTACTTTCTGATGTTCCAGTTTATTGTCACATATGAAGCAGACAAACCGTGATGATGATATGATGAGTTGTTATTTCCGAGATTATACTGTTGGTTGTCGTTCTTTTGTTGTTAAATAGCCTACTTGCGTTATGTTGTGTTATGGTAAGAACCGTATGTTCCCACCACCTATGCCCTCTTTTCCCGTTCACCTGTGACATATAAACACTCAACCAACCACCTGACCAATTAAACCAAATGATCAATTATCCCCACCTAGTGTCAATAAACATATAAACAAAAGCCATTGAAATACAACACATAAATACACACACACTAAATTGGCTCCTACAATGACCAACACTGTAGCTGCTTGAAATGCACATAGTGTTTACTATACAGGGCTTTGACCATTGCAACATTGTGAATGTAAAAAACCTGTTTTAGGGTCAGCTCGAAAAGAAATGGGATAGTAACACCATCCACATCTTTACAAATGCTCCTAAACAAACATTGAGCAATTAATCAAAATAGGAATAAACTGTGAATATCAACAAAGAGATTTTTGATTTTCCACACGGCCCAATTTCAACAACCTTCGAATGTCAAATTATTATTATTTACCACATTTCTTGCATGTCTGAAATTTTGGTTGTGCAACTCTACTCACTTGCAAAGAGCCAGGGCCTTCAGGGCTTTTTCCCCATTGTGCAGGGCAGACAGCATCTAAAAGCACCATGGCAACAGCAGGCATGTCTGTTTGATGCGTCTTCTCCCTACAATATAATGAAAGAGAAATGTTTGCAGGAAATAGCTGCTGACCTCTGTCTGCCTGGGAATATTGGTTATGAATTAACAGCTTACTTTGCTTGTGTTGGTGATGCTAAAATTAAGATTTAGATGAAGACAAATTAAGATTTTACTTCAACTCCCATCTGTGGGAGTTTTCAATGGCAACTTAAATGCCCTGATTTAACAGGTGCACTCAGGTTATGGATCTGTGTGTAGTCTGTGTGTGTGTTTGTAGGTGAAGCTTCTGTTGCTTGTTACATGTTGTGCGTCTTGTGCTTCAGAAACGCTCTAACGCGATGTAAAATCACACACTGGCACACCAATATTCTGCTGTTGCGGAGTCAATATAAGAGTTAAAGAGTCATAGTGACAGCTGAGCTTTGTTACTGTGCTGTTGCGGAGTTGCAATTTAAAATGGGCTTGTGACTTCTACAGAGTCCATTTTTACATCATGCCCCCCCAACCCGTCTGCCGGAGATAATATCAACCAGAAAAGTGTGAAAGAGCAACTCATGAAGATTTCAGGGTCACACTGTGCTGAATTATCTGGAAATGTTTTAGAAGGGCGTGAGTGGAAAGAGCTGAATGGAAACAAAGTTTCTTGTCATGATTTACCCTCATCTCTCATAACATAACTGTTCTACCAAAACAATATATTGTTGTACGACTGTTGGATATAAAGAGAAGATTGTCTTCAGAGTAGCCTTAAGTATCTGTTAAAATGTCTGTCTTTTCTTCTTTTCTAGAATTGGTACTTGTTAAACAGTCTGCTTGGTCAGGTTGAAGCACCAAAAGGACTTGGATCTGTTCTCTAACACATGATGTTCACATGAATGTTTACTTGATGTTTCACATGCGGGACTCAAAGCAAGATCTCCTGGGTGAAAGTCCAGCGTTGTCTGACCCATCAGTTGCCCCTGACAACCACTCTGTGTGGGCTTTATCTGTATTTCTGCTCTATCACTATGACTTCCCAAGTGCTGAACGGCTCTAGTATTTGCACTGCGGTGGCTCATATTGCTGTTGATGGGTTAACATGGGTTAAAAAAACCTGGTAACTGTAAGAAACTAAAAATGTATTTTTGTGTCAGTTCAGATGCTGTGGGGTTAACATGGGTTATGTGTATAAAAGTGCATGACTTTTGAAAGACGGGCTAATGTTCCCTTTTCTTTCATGACTCATGCAGAAAGTTATGAGTATGATTGATGATCAATTGATCATACTGTTCTCTTTACCTTATCATTCAGAATGAATGATAATTAACTATGATGATTAGCCACTCTGGAGTAAAGGTCCTCAATGGTTTCACATCTTTCCCTGACATTTTACATTGCCCAAATACAACTGGACTTTTAAGACACATGTAAACATGTTAGTACAACATAAATCTTACAAAGTCTAATTTCTTGAAGTTAGACTATAGATGATGTGGGTGGATGTCAATTTACTATTTCCTTTGTATACCTCAATCTGCCCTAAATTGGGCTAGGTGTTCTGTGCATGCTCCACTGTTTCCATGAAGGGCTCCTACCAGGGAGTCGAATGGCATAAATGGGTAGAAGAAAGCAGGAAAGAAAATAAGATTAGATGAACCATGCATATTTGATAACAAGTCAAAGACTTAAGCTGTCATTTCCACCATATCTCCAGTGAAATCAGCTGTATCGTCCACTGTACACTCTTGCCAAAGTGCTACATAACATGTACAAGTCGTGTCTGATTGTTTGAGCTGGGAGGAAGGGCAGGAGGTGGATGGAGAGATAAGGAGATGCAGTAACTGGCAGGGTGAAGGGCTGCAGATGGATGTAATCTTTGATAACTCCTCTCCCCCTCCTGTTCACAATGACTGTGCTTTACTGCTGAGTGATCATAAAATGACATTCATAAAAAAGGATTATCTAAAAACTTCCCCTCTATTAATGTGTAACCACCGATGGAACATCTGATACATCACTCTGAAGATAAAGAGAACAACAATTTAGAGATCAATAAAGAGATTCAGCTAAAGGAAACCGTTTAGTGATAGAGCTTACAAATGCTTTTTTTTTTTTTTTTTACAAAGAAACCCTACGGTTTTATCATCAATCCCCAATTTATCCTCCAAATTTACACAATATTTTGACTTAATTATATCACAAAATTCATTTTGTTCTTGTCTTTCAACAAGAACTGTAACTGACATCTTTTAAAGGGAAAGTAAGTCAGTTTAAACGGTAGGCAAACCCACAACAGCCTTGTATTAGATAATATAAACATACAGTACGTAGATATCTTTCTGACACAAACAAAAGCACTACAATTCATGTTATGTAGAAGACAGCAGCTTTGTTTTTGAACTGATCATCTGTTCAGTCATAGGTTTAAGTATCAACATTACTTTCTACTAAGTGTAACTAAGTAGTTTCACATGTAGATTATATACAAGAAGTGAATGTAGCCAATGGGACATTATTACACACCATTATGTGGAGCATAGTTTTAAGGTTTGGGTTTGACATTCTGACAGTCACTATATTGTTTATTTGTTGCCAGAAGTCGCCATATTGGAAAGAGGAGGAGGAGTTATCAGCTAGTGGTAGCATGATTTAAACAAAAATGATCAATAAAAATGAAAAGCCAACCTTGAATTGTGTTTGAGTTCAATTGTACATGAACAAGACACCTTACAGGCTGCACTCACAGCAATTTGAAACAAGTAGCTGTGCCCTAAAGTAAATTCTGCTTTATTCTTAGCCCTGTTATTAATGGGAAGCTCATTTCCAAAATGACCATCATGCCAAATTATATAGAGGAAAGAAAATTAAAGATTGGGACCATTAAATCTTCGGGAGAACTGGTATCTGGGTATCTGGTATCAAATAACCTCTAAAGTATAGGGTCAATTTCTTATGGACTTATGCAATCAAATTTATTTTTGCAACAGTTGGGGTCACCCCATTTAAGAGAAAAAGAAAACTGGCATCTGCTTCTCCTCTCTTATCAGACTCAGACATTAAGCTTCATCAACTTTTATGAAGAGGCTTTGGTATCACACAACATGTGAACAAATGACTCAGCAAGGTAGATTGTCATCAAAACATCAAGAGTTATATTTCCTGGTAAAGCAAACCATTGTGCTTGCTTCAGCAACATCATTGCAGATGAAATTGTCCTTCCTTTCTTGGTGAATGCGACATTCAAGAATAAAAAAAAAAAGAAAAGACCACAACTAAGGCACTTCTTGACTTATTGCCCACATTTTTGAGCTGTAGAACCATAACCGCACCAATGTCATCAAGGTGAAACCTAAAGTTTATAATTCCAGAAAAACTAAAAACCAAAGTTGATGGCTCATCATTTGTCTGACTGAATGTGTTCATTTGAAAAAGAAAAGAAGAGTTGTTGTAAATGGTCATTGGTTGCTGTGACTTTTTTTGATCTTGTTCCCAATTTTTTTTTTACTTTATGAATTACTCTCCCCTATAGGTGTTTTTAAAAAAAAAAAAAAAAATTTAATAAAACTTTTTCTTACTTTGTTACGTCCATTTCAAATGGAGACTCAACTTCTACATTAAGTTAACTTAATTGTCATCTTAAACTATAAAGAGGTTTGGTGATTACCAGCACGACTGTTACGGACTCAGTTTTGTTTTCCCCAGGTGAAGCCTGTATTTACAATCCCACTGTTAATGTATCACTTGGTGCATAGATGGGAGGGGAAATGGCTATATAAAGACATTCACCTTCCACCCTCTCGTGTGCTGTTTCACTGTGGGTCTCCTAACAGACGGACAACATGGCGAAAGGTTTCTTTATCAGCAAAACCGTTGGCATAGTGGGTGCCATCGTGGGTGTAGCGGCCGTGTCTACCATCATTGCTCTGTCTGTTGTTTACTCCCAGGAAAAAGCCAACAATAATCAGCTGACTGATGAAGGAACAACATCCAAACCTCCCGTCACTACACCTGCCCCGTCCAATTTGCCCTGGGACAAATATCGGCTGCCCAAGAGCCTGGAGCCTGACCACTATAACGTCACCCTGTGGCCACGACTCACTCCTGACAAGACAACTGGACTCTACATCTTTACTGGTAAGGTGGAATATTTGTTATACTGTAACGTGAGATGGTCTTCTTTTATACAAAGTATGCATTGACCAGCTACCCAGGGTTTCAAATCTTTGGTGAAGAATAATGAAAAACAACAGGAATTTAGAAGCATCGCTTTGTCAGGGATGGAGATCAAAATGTGTCATATGGTTGAGAAGTAACAGCTTCAACAGCGTGTCATAAAGAAATACCCATCATTCAAGAAACTGATTTCACTCATGACCTCTTTTAAAGCAATCCTTTACGCAAGCAAATACAGGAGGGGTGTTGGAAAGTCACAGTCTTTCTTTACCCAGACCACTTTAAAAGAGTTTTACATAATCGGCATGCGCAGGCATCTCAGATCTGATGATAAACGCTGTTAAAATGTTTTTTTTTTAAGAACTTGATCACGGTTAATACCACCTTTAACAGTACATATAGTTTAAATGAACGGAAAAGCTTAGAAGAATTCATACGTACCCAACAGTTTGTTCTGCATCTCAGAGAAAACAGCAGAAAGAACAGCCTCAACTTGTCTATTTCTTGACTACATTTTGTGGCTGTTTTGAGCTTAGAAACACCACTAAGTTTTCTTTGGTGTAAAGGCCTATAGTGCTGAGCTAATGTTTATACTTTACATTGGTTTTCAGTACTTTTAAAAATACATTTCAAAATTCTCAACTTCTAAAAAAAACATTAAAACAGGTCAGTTTTCAGTTTTTGACCGTCCATCTTGTTAAATTCAGCTGCTTGGTGCATGGCCCAGTGCTTTAGTATACGACAAGGTTTGTACTTATCATTTCTGTGCGCCGTCTGTTAGCTTATTATTTTGGGTTAGGGTTAGGTTGTCCGTTGAATCGGATGATATTGTTTGAAGAGCATCAGTTTGATCTTGGGGTGGGGCTCGAGGCGATGGATAGGTCAGACATATCTGTTTGTCTGGTTTTTAATTCCCCTGGGAAAACAGTACATTTTACATTACAGGTCCTTTGATTTAAAGCGGTCATATTATGCTTTTTCTGGTTTTATATGCTCTTTAGTGTGTTTTCCATGTGTCCTGTGCATGTTTAGGCACAACTATTTGCAAAAATTCAAAGTCCGCGGAAAAGCAGCTTCTCCTACGTCCTCCTGTTAGTTGCAGCATTAGCTGCATGTAATGCTCGGTTCTAGCCCCCCTCAAAAAAAATTTGCCAGTGTGACAATCAGATCAGACTTGGCACATGTGGGGACTCTGAACGTTGGCACTTCAGAGCCATAGATAGAGAGTCAGAAGCGAGCCGGTGCATGGAGCGGCAGTACATGAAAACAGACACTTTTTTCGCACTTTAGCTATTGTGAACATACTGTAGTAGATACATAGATTAAATATACGAACCCAAAAAAGGCCATAATATGACCTCTTTAACTGGACAAGAGGTTTTGTTTACAGTGAATGTTGAAATGTTCCTTAATTTTGAGTTTCATCACTTTCACTTAAAGGCAAAATAAATGTCCATTTTGAAACGTACAATACTTTAAACATTGACGACCTTGGAACCCAACCATTATATTGCCTTTGTAGGCCATAAAGAGATATTCACTTTTATTTCAGTCTCTTTCATTATTGCTCTCTTGCTTTTTAAACCAAAGCAAGAGAAGTCTGGCTTTGTTTTATTTGGCCACATGGCTCTGGAAGCCACTTTTCAAGGTGACTGTTTTCATAAAAAGAAGTGCATAAATAATTTAATGGATTTTCAGTGGACAAAATCTATGTTAATTTTTGATTCCTTCAAATTAACCAAACCATGGGTTTAATTTTTTCTTTTGGCAGAGCTGACCACATTATAAGTTCTGTCATTGTGTTTCAGGTGACTCCAGTGTGGAGTTTCGGTGTGTTGAGGAGACCGACCTGATTCTTATCCACTCGAATAAGCTGAACTACACCAAATTTGAGAATGGCCACTTGGCAACGCTCAAATCAGTCAGTGGAGGCAAAGCGCCCTCTATCAAGTCTTCCTGGCTAAAGGTTGAGACCCAGTACCTGGTCCTACAGCTGGATGGTAAACTGACGAAGAACCAAATGTACCAACTTTCTACCAAATTCACTGGAGAGCTGGCTGATGACCTGGGAGGCTTCTACAGGAGTGAATACATGGAGAACGGAGTGAAAAAGTAAGTGTATGAGGAGTCAGATATACTTTGAAAATGTAGTACACTTTAGGTGGGTAAAACAGACCAAGACATACTGTAACATGTACAGCAATGTGTGGAAATAGATGGCAATGATGGTTCTTATGATGGTTGGGTTATATATGTCTGGTTGTGTATCGTGCACTTTGGGTTCTTTTCTGTTAAATTGTATTTAATTATTTTTGGTATTTTGCATCTGTTATATTCTTACTGTTGTTAATGTTTTTCTGTGTTTGGTTTAGTTTGCTTTGTTCTTGCTGTTTGTCAAAGCACTTTGTAAACCTGTGTTTTTAAAAGGTGCTATATAAATAAAGTTATTATTATTATTATTATTAATAATGAAGGGTGAAGGTTGGGGAAGTGGAAAGCCTATCTATCACATGGTTAACATAAAACAGTCACACCTGGGTTATATTTAGCCACCTGAAAACACCATAAAAATGTCTCTGACATCCTTACATGGAAGGAAACACATTTTTAGTGTGTAAATCATTTGAATTTCAGTAGTATTCAAAAATATTTTTTGTACTAAAAAGGCTTGACTGAAATTACTGGGAAATATGCATCCATTCCCAGAGGCGTATCTCGTCTATGAGATGCTGATTGCCAATGGGTACCAGATTAAGGTTAAAATAATAGGCCTACTCCATTTAGGGGATTGTTCCAAACAAGACTTTTGTGAATAAGAAAGAAACTGCAGGTCATGAAGTATGTTCCAACAACACCTAATTTGTGTTGACACAGAGAAAAAGCCTTTATTTTTCAAGCAAAATAATTTACTTCTAATTGAAATACGTAAGTTTGATTTTTTTGTGATGGACACCAAAAAAGAAATATATGTCTATGTACTCATAGTTTATTGTACTGATTTGACTTTTTCTTGTCTTCATGAGACTGGATACAGATTTTGGTGGCTCCATCATATTAAATGGTTTAAATGCCATGCATTAACTGGTCCTAAACCAGTACACTTGACCATTTCTACGTAAGTGTCTTGTAAAACATATACATTTTACAAATTGAACTTATTGTCTACATCCTGTCAGGGTTGTTGCTACGACTCAGATGCAGCCAACAGATGCCAGAAAGGCTTTCCCCTGTTTTGATGAACCTGCTATGAAAGCTGTTTTCCACATCACTCTTATCCACCAGAATAGAACTGTAGCCCTGTCGAATGGGGAAGAAAAGGGTACGTTTTATAACCAACACTGGTCAACTTGATCTTGCCAGTTTAGGACAAAATCCAATAAGTGAATGTAGAAGTAAATGTATCTGAATTTTGAATTAGATGGACAGCAGTATGTGATAAAGCAATTGAAAAATAATACTACATAGATGAAGAAATCTTTGGAACTTATTGAAACTTGAAAACTAAAGTTACAAATCTTTTTATCCAATTATATTTTACAGAGTCAAGCAATATCAACATGGACGGTCAGGCTGTGCAGATGACAGTTTTTAAGCCAACTGAGAAAATGTCCACCTACTTGTTGGCGTTCATTGTCAGTGACTTTGAATTCATCAGTGAAAACATTGGTGGTGTTTTGGTAAGTGTCTCAACCATCATTTCCCCACGCCAACCAACTATGACAGTTACATCAGCAGGTAGATTGTCTTACAGGGTAACATAACGCAGCCAAAACAATTATTAACCAGTTTGTTTTTGGTAAAATGGGATGCCTCTTCTTTAGCTACATAACTTAAATAGAAAACTGTTTAATGTGTTACAACACAATCCCATAAAACATACTCATATGCCTGAAACTTTGCACTTTTTTTTAACTACAATGGTTTTTCATGAATTAGTCAACACCAATAGTTGAGTTTTAGTCATTAGTTGTTTTCCACTTTGTTTTTTGTTAAGCCCATAATTATATGCAGCATATAATGGCATGCAAGTGATGCCATGTAGTTGTGGAATACTGTTAGGACGGTGTAATGGAATGGAAACCACAACCAGAATAATATTTGATATTGTTTTCAAGCTATTTAACATTCACATGAAATTACCCTTGATTGGTAGCTCATGCAATATAAAATTGGTATAAAAATGTGATGTGTAAATATTTACAATAAAAAATGTCATGAGGAAAACACATACAATTGACTTTTTTTTAGCTGAAAGGTACAGAGGAGTATTAGGGCCACATTAAGGGGAATTTATTTCTTGATTAAAGTAAAAATGTACGACGATAAAGTCAGAAATTTACGAGAATAAAGTTATTCATCAACGAGAATAATCTTGTACATTTAGGAGAATAAAGTTGTTATTTTAGTATATTTAGCCTTTAGTTTATTAGAAGACCAGCAGCCACCTGTACCAAATGAGGAACATGGAGCATCTTGTGTAGTTAGTATAGGTTTCACAAATACGGAAATACTTCCTTGTGTAGTCTGTAACACAGACTGACTGCGCATCAACTCTCTGTGGAATGAGTTGCTTTAAAACAACAGTTTGACAAGGACTCAACA